GTCATTTTTTGAAAATAAATTATAAAGATAGGTCACATGCTGCACTACACATTGGGTCCTATGATTGAACGTTTATGTTATCCGTAACGTACATGTTAGGCCGAGTTTTAACAGTAATGAGGCAAGTTCGTATGATGGAAAACTTTTTCCAACACGTTACTGTTATTTTCCGCCTGTTATCTTCTAATTTAACAGTTTTCCATCATCCGAACTTGCCTCGTTACTTTTAAAATTCGGCCTAACATGTACGTTACGGATAACGTAAACGTTCAATCATAGGACCCATTATACGTACATGTTGTGTGTGTTGCCATCAAGTAGTTAATCCTACTAATTAGGCATTCTCCAAACTGAATGGCTACCAGTGGGTTCTGACAGGTTATGATTATGGCAACCCTGTAGGCCTGGTGATTTGACAAGGTCAATGAAATAGTAGTTACATAGATTGATCATCCATATTTTTTAAAATAAACATAAGCTTATGCCTTGAAGTAAAAATAAAAGCAATTATTTTTTTTTAATATCCAAAGGCAAATTGGTTTTAAAACACATTTTGCTAAACCGATTCAAATTAATAGATATTTGCCAGGCAATATGGCCGCTCGCAAATGACCTGCTTTGAGCAACTATATATGTATCATTGACCCTGTTAATGACAACATGACAACAGGGTTGCCATATCTAAACTGTCAGTCCCCACTGGTAGCCATTTGGACAGGTCGTTGGAATGCCTAATATATCATACATTATTAAGTTTTTCCAATAACTGTGCTCAGGTATTAACTGATTTTTATAAATTCCTCACCAAACATTTTATGTGTGTTCAAGTAGCTGTACTATTTGTAATAAATAAAATAGATACAAATTTATTTTTTTAAGTTCTCCATACACTTGTTTCTGGTACCTACGTACTGCTTATTCATTATTAATTATAACACTAACATAAGGATGATTTCGAACCAAAAAATTTGCATCTATTTCACGTACAAAAGTACAGTGACTTGAACACGGAGACGACGTACCCCGCTTATCTTTTTGTAGATGAACTTTGGTTAACAAAAGGACAATATTGAGAATTTTATTTATTGATGAATCCCTATTTACACATGATGAGATCAAAAACGCTAAGAATTGTCATATTTAAGCAACTGAAATTCCTCAGATTGTATCACAAAAACATTACCAATATAGATTTTCTATAAATTTTCAAGACGATGGTCCTGGACATCATTTTCTAATACTGGTCAGATACCATTTAAATCAACGTTTCCCAAATTAATGGATAGGTCGAGGGAGTCCCGTTAATTGACCACCAAGATTTCCAGATCGAACATTTCTGCATTATTTTTATGGGACTACCTTAAATCACAGATGTATAACGAACTTAGAGTAAGTAAGTAAGTAGTAAAGAGAGGACAGTAAACAATATTTGTGTCGCCATGATAATATGGTCGAGGATTCTAATTAGAGAGAAACAGATTAATATCTCTATCTCTTTATTTGTATTTGTCAGTTTGACAAAGCTTTTCTCAGACAATTATTCCAGTGTTTAATTTAAATTTGTTCGTGTTGTGGTGTTAAAAGTAATTATTATTAATATTGTATTCATAACAAAAAAGTCATATTTTGTTTTCACTTCATTAAAAATGCACCTACCTACCTTTTAAAACATTTTATTTTATATTCTACTTGGTCAACATTTTCGCATTAAAAATGACCCAGTGAAATTGTTTTACGGTACGCTACTGCTGAGAATTCTAAAACGAGTGAGAAAGCCTTCATTAGAAAGAGAGATACTGATTATATGATAGCGACATTAATATTGTATAACTTTATGCAGTGGTGGCCTATCTGCTATTATATTATCTAAGATAACGAAGAAATGAGTACCCGAGCACAGTTATTGGACAAAATTGATAATGTATGTAACAACATTAGAAATAAACTGGAAATAATTGACAAATCAATAAAAAACCTGTTTAAACGTTTGCAGAGGTGTATTGACGTACACGGTGTTTATTTTAAAAATCTACTTTAGTTTTAATTATTTATTTGTTTCTGTTAGTTTGTTCTACTACTTTATCAAATAAAGTGAGCCCGGTCCTGTGTAGATCTTCAATTTCTTATTGAAAAATGCAGTAGTTATCAAAAATTAAGATGGTACCTAATTTGTGTAGAGGTTTAAAAGTACAGAGTAAAATATTTTATTTTAATATTGAAAATACTGATTTATAATATTGTAGTCGCCATTATAAAAATTTACTGTAGGAAAATCATTAAATATTATTACACTATTTTATTTATTGATCCATGTACTATTTAAATGTCCATTAATAGTTATTAAAATCCGATGTACATGGTGATAGTCTAGCTAAGAAGAGCAATATAAAAAAAGAGAGTCCAGTCCTAAATTTTTTAAAATTAAATTATAGCGTTGATTAACCTAAGAGAGTCTTACTTTTGTACAAAATTTTATTATAATATCTCTATCCGTTCAAATAAAATGGCCGACTTGGGTTTTGGCAAAAAATCATAAAACACCCTATATCTCAGAAACGAGTAAGATTAAAGGTTAATTAAGGTTTTCAACTCAGCTAAGTGTACTCTTCTTCCCATTAAGCTGTGTCCGTTTAAATCTGTATGTCATTGGAATGAATAGATGGATGCATGCATGTTTGTTGCTCAATAACGCCAGAATGAAGAACGGATCTGGAAATTTGGCACAAAGATAGGTTATAGACTGGAATAGCACATAGGCTACTTTTTAATCCCAAAAAATGTACGGTTCCTGTGGGATAGATTTGTTTTTGTTTTTCACAGAACAAATGATCAGAAAAGATTTTTTGCATAGTGGTAGTGAAACGTGAAAATTTTAAATACAGCTACTGAGCATAAATAAATAATGAGGTGTTTCAGGGAAATTAGGGAAATGGGGGAAAGGAGGAAAATGAGAGGGGGTAAAAGTTTGTATGGGGGTGTCTATCTTTTTAAAGGTAGGAACCTAAAAATAGGAATTGCAGCTACTTATCGTAAAAAAAATAGATATATTTCAGAGTATTTGGATTTTTACCTATTGAGGGGGAAAACGGGAGGTAAATGTTTGTATGATACTTTCGGTTTTTTAAAGGTAGGAACTTAATAATTAAAATTGTAGATACTCATTACAAATAAATAATGATGTATTTCAAGGTTTTTGGATTTTTACATTTTAAGGACGGGGTTTATTATTGACTTCAAATAAATCAAAGTACGACGCAAGTCGCCATTTTCATTACACTTTTCCGTCACTTGAAGTGCGTCCATTTGTCATATCGCAAAATAGTGTTTATGTCGTCACTACTTTATTCTATCTCGATCGTTACTTCTGAAGTTATTAATTTAACTTTTAGCAATCTGGTAAATTCATCATGTGTTATTTTTCTGGTAACTTTAAGTCACATGGGATAGGAGTATTGTTTAAGACTGTGTATTTTTAACCTCTCTTCATAGTTAAGACGAGGATCACAATTGGAGTCTTTGTTCATCAGAATTTCTAGTTTTGACTGCAAATTCAAGTTTATGGAATCCTTGTGGTGATCGAGGAATGAAGACATTCCAGATAAGTGTAATGCTAAAATAATTTCTTTTTAATACATGAACTGGAGTTAAATAAATTAATATTAACTATATTTGCATATTACAAAGATTTACGAATAGTACTTACCAAATTTAAATGAAATTTTTTATACTGACAATAAGAAACAAATCACACATTTTCTTTCGGTTGTGAATATTACCACAAATGATTTGGTACTTCAGTAATATAATAATAAACAAACATTTGTCCCATCTAGTGCAAATTTGATCATTTTAATTTTTGAAGAGAATAGAAAACTATTCATTATACATTAAAGTTACTAAGATTGGTAATAGATGGCGCAACGTGTATGACAAAGTTATTATCTAATGAATTTGATCATTTTAATTTTTGAAGAGAATAGAAAACTATTCATTATACATTAATGTTACTAAGATTGTTAATAGATGGCGCAACGAGTATGATAAAATTATTATCTAATGAATTAGACAATAATTTAAAAAAAAATTAAAATTGTAGTTTATAAAATAGATAGTCTTAAGTTTTTCTTTTTTGTTAAAGGAATTAGGCCTAATTCAACTAAGAAGTTGAAATTATTTTAACAGCAATTTTAAATAACAATTTAAATATTTAAAATGAGTTCAACGAGAGATAGTTTTAGATAATTAAGTAGGTATTTCTTGTTAAGTGTTTATGAAATAATTTATGTTAAATTTAAAAAAAAAAAAAAAGAAAAAAAGGTATTAATGGTTAATAAATGGTTAATTTATGTATAAAATTAAACACATTTATTTTAATTTAAAATATAGTATGGTCAAATTAAATAAAAAAAAGGACAATATTTCAATCAAAGTATACAATTTATAAAAAAAATGTTTTGATTTACAATTGAGCTGTCGGATTTAACTGAACCGCACCTGAGAGAGAAAATCTGTTTGCTCAAAACAAAGACAATAATATAATATAAATGGCCAAACTAATTACCTAATACAAAGAAAAAAAATATATAAATACAAATAGTTTTGCAAATGGCAGAGTTCAAAATCTCTGATAAAAATCAGTTTTGCCATCCACTGATATATTATCTTTGTCCGTCATGCTCAGTGGAGTAGCCAGCCATTTTTCATGGGAAGCGTTTTTGAGAACTAAGGGGGCTTCCATTAAGAAATGAATAAAAACAAACAGTCAATAGCGATTAGCGTCAATACTAAAGGGACGCGTGGATCCCCAACGGGGGGGTTCTACCCCCAAAGCTTCCTCCTTGGTTACGCCACTGCATGCTAAGTACTTTTTATTCATACAGCTCATTATTTTTTGGTACGGGTAGGTAATCTAAAATTATACAATGATAAAAAAAGATAATTATCACTTTCATTTAACAAGCAAAAGTTCAATATAATTGGGAATTGCGCTTTAAGGTCAACGACAAGGTCTGACATCAGATATAATTTATAATCATTTATTAATAAATTGCTGCAGATAAGACATGTGATATTAGTTCCCTTTATTGTAAACAACAATTTTATTATTATTTGTTTTGTATCTGTTTTAAAGGTAAGAGTACTTTAAAAGTAGATTTTTGGATTCGTTTATTTTTTATATCTGTAGTTATTGTATATAACGTGTTTCATAAAGACGGAATTCTTTACTCCTTTATCATCAAAATAATATCAGTTTGCTTAATAAATATGTATTTAAAAATTAATAATGTGGGAAGTAGGTCAATATGTTTTCTACGACATCTCAAAATCTAATGACCATTTTGAAATATTATTTAGAGGGTTAAATTATGTAAGTGAAGACTGCCAATAAACAAAAGAGTTCTAAATTCTTCTAAAAACCGGAATATATTGATGAATTATTAGTGTGTAGTCGTTAGTAATATTAAATAAAATAATAAAATTGGGTTTTTATATAAATTTTAAATTAAAATATATTCGTAAAACATTTACATTGTGGTTAGATCGTACTTGAGATATACAGATCTACTTTTCTATTTATCTAAGAAGATTAGTGTTTTAATACATGCTGCTATTAATTATCCTTCGCTCATATTCCGGACATTTTTACTCACACTGTAGTATACTGCGATGTGTCACGACCCAAAAGTTTAAAGATTCAGCTAAAACTTTTTCTTACCCTGAGTCATAGCAGCGTTTATCACTGATAATTCATTATATTGTGTTGTTTCATCGACTCAACGCGTACCTTTAAATTTTTGATTACGAGTTTAGTATTGTGAATTTGTGGTGAAAATGCCAAAGCGGGTTGGTAGTTGTGATTTGGGAAATGAGCGTGAAAGAAAACAGCTCAAATACAAAAAATTGAAGAGGAAAATGGAAAAATTACAGAAGAAGATAGAAACGATATCTGACAGTGACTCAACAGGTACATTTATTTATTTATTTAGGTGTATTTAAAATTATTTAGTTAAAGCACACTACAGAGCAGAGGGCACTTGATGAGTGGCCCCCTATATCTTATTTTTCTGCCTACTTACATAACCGAGGGTACTCGATGAGTGGCCCACTCAGTCTACATGACTCATTTTTCGGTGATTAATATGTAATAAGCATTATTTGTATATTCAGTAGTAGTAAATTTTATATATTTATTTACTTCTTCTTTTCTTTTTCTTAAAAATGTTTTATTTAAAACATTTTTGTTCTGTTATTTCTGCAAATACTTATATAACCGAGGGTATTCGATGAGTAGCCCACCGAGTCTATATGACTCATTTTCGGTAAATACGATATCAAAGGCATTCAGAGAATAGCCTACACAGTTTGAATAGTTCAGCACCTTTTCTCATTTTTACAGATGAGGAAACTACACAAGATGTGGTAGTAGAAACAGCTGCTCAGGTTCATCATAGGGAAGAGAATTTTAACCTAGTTATCGGTGATTCGGAGAATGTAACAAATCAAGAGTTAAATATGAGAGAAAACAAAGATTTAGATGCCATTCAAGTAGTAGAACCCAGAAATCAGGATTCTACAGAAGAAATAATGAACTTGTTTGGAGTAGATCCGTTAAACAATACTAAACAGGGTGTAGCATTATTGGGTGGAATCGCATCCCGTTGGGACCATAATATAAAAAATGGATTAGGAAATGAAGAAATACAAATTCTCGTTGACAAATATCCTCCACCAAATAACTGTTGTGCATTGGTTCCCCCTCTTTTAAATGAGGAAATAGCAGGCTCATTAAAAGAGAATAAGATAAGAGAAGATAAATATCTTCAGAAGCTTCAAACCCAAATAGCAGCTGGCTTAATGGCCATATATGATCCAATCAAAACCATGGTATCGGAAAATTCAGACAATACAAGGAGTTTGGAAAATTTAGCCGATGCGGGAAAAATTTTTACAGATATTTTCCATCAAATCTCTCGGCATAGACGATTTCTTTTAAATGCATTTTTGAACCCAAAATACAAAAAACTTCTGGAAAACCAACCGATTGATAAATTCTTATATGGTGAAAATTTAATGGACAAAGTAAAACAATCACAGGCTGCACAATCGGCTTCTTCTCAAGTAGGGGCAATTATAAAGCAAAGAAACCCGGTACAGCATTTTTTAAACTACAAGGGCCCACTCAACAGCAAACCCAATTTAAGAACATACAGGGGGGCGGAAAGATCTCAGTGGAATGCCAGCAGAGGAACAAACAGACCACCGAGAAGGACAGAAATCCCAAACAATACCTTCAAGAAGTCGTACCAGTGGAAAGCGAAAAGGAACCAGCGTTAGAGGTGAGTAAGAAAATCGCAGGAAATTTGAGGAATTTTATGGAAGAATGGGAAGTCATAACGTCAAATAAAACGATTTTAAACTGGGTTGCCGGTAATGAAATACCCTTCACAAAAATCCCATTTCAATTGGAAATACCTACAGTCTATATTAACCAAAAGGAGAGGGCTCTATACGATTCTACCATTCAACAACTTCTAAAAAAGGGTGCTATATCAAAATGTAAACATAGTAAAGGTGAATTCCTATCTCCATATTGAAATATTTAGAAGGACAGCATCCCCTTAAGGATCTTTCTCTAGTGTCATTAACGTATAAATTAGTTATGCTCATTTCTCTAACATCTGCCCATAGGTTGCAGACAATTTCATTAATAAAAATTCAAAATATTTACATAAAAGAAGAGCTTATTGAAATTCAAATACCTGATAAAATAAAAACGTCTAGTATTAATAAATCACAACCAGTTTTACGTTTTCCATTTTTTAAAGAAAGGCCAGAACTTTGTGTGGCGTCAACTATTTTTCATTACTTAAATAAAACGCAAGCTCTACGGCCAGAAGGAGAAGATAAACTCATCATTACAGTAAAAAAGCCACATAGAGCAACATCTACGCAGACAATAAGTAGATGGCTTAAAAATGTACTAACAATAAGTGGTGTCAATACAGATATTTTGAAAGGTTACAGTACCCGTCATGCTGCAACATCTGCAGCAGCGCGTGTTGGACTTAATATTGAAATAATTCGAAAAACAGCTGGTTGGACAAAAAATTCGGAAATTTTTAATAAATTTTACAATAAACCACTTACAGCTAATTCCACCAGGTTTGCCAAAACTATAATTTCTCTAAAATAATAAATTGCTTTTGTTGTTTGTTCTCTATATTACTAGTTAGGTAAACTTATTGGTATTGATATTATTTTTAATATTATTATTAAATAGTCGTTCCTGTTTAATTTAATTATTGTATTACCAATTGGGTAACTTTGTTTGTTATTATATTAAGTGTTCATAGATCGTATTTTCTTTAAACATCTACAGTGTGAGTAAAAATGTCCGGAATATGAGCGAAGGATAATTAAATAATTGGTCGACTTACCTGGTAAGGAAGGACAATCTTAATTATCCGAGCTCATATTCCGGACATTTTTACTACCCTCCCTGTTTGTGATTATCCCATCCCTACCAACGATCTATTCACATAAGGTACGCACAATATAATGAATTATCAGTGATAAAAGCTGCTATGACTCAGGGTAAGAAAAAGTTTTAGCTGAATCTTTAAACTTTTGGGTCGTGACACATCGCAGTATACTACAGTGTGAGTAAAAATGTCCGGAATATGAGCTCGGATAATTAAGATTGTCCTTCCTTACCAGGTAAGTCGACCAATCATTTAAATATTGTGATACGGAGCCATCTCTGAACTTTGTTTACTCCTTGTTCGAGATGTATGAAATCTAGCGCTGGTCATATAAAGACAAACGCACCGCTTCGAGAAGCTATCGGATAGAGTCATTGAGAGGCAGTTTTCTATCGTTCTGGAAAGCCGAGAGTGTTCTGGTACAGAGCTGGCTTTATATAAATTGCGCGGTTTGTCAACGGACAGGAAGATTCAATTTAAGTGTTGGACAGAAAAGACAAATCGTAATAAATTAATTAGAATTGTGAGTTATAATAGTGTCTAAGTATTATATATTAGTACGTTATAAATAAATTGTAAATGAAGTGTTTTAAATAAATAAACTATAAATAAATTAAACAAACGTTACATTAGTGTTAGATTAAGTAAAACTGTAAATAAATAGTGAACAAAAATGGCTAAAAAACTGTTTGATTTAAAAGTGGCTGAATTGCGTCGAGAAGATCGTGATCTGGAGATGACAAGGAAGAGCAGAGCTGACAGAACGGCTTAAACAAGCAATGAAAAACAAAAGTTTGGATCCGGACACGTTTCTATTTTCGGATGATGAGTCTTCTGTAATTTTTTCTATCGAAAGTAAGATCTCATCCTTAGAAAATAAAGTTTCTTCAGATATTTCCTCTATAAAAAATAATATTTCCTCTTTAGAAACTAAGATTACTTCTTACATTACTTCTTTAGATAGTAAAGTTTATTCCTTAGACGAAAAGATGTCTTCTGACATATCTTCTTTAAATACCGAAATTTCTTCCGACTTGGAAAACAAAATGTCTTCCCTGAAACATTAAATTTCTGCTGATGAGGAAAATAAGATGACTTCCGTTGAGAAGAAAATGTCTTTTGTTGAGGAGAAAATAAAAGAGATGGAAAAAATAAAAGAACTGGAACCTACAGAACAGACCAAGGACGTTAAAATAAAATGCCATGAGGTGGAGTCAAAGTTGAAATTGGAGGGAAATGTAAACTCTGCTCGTGTTAAAGCCCCAACTTTCGACGGGAAAATCTCATGGACCTTAAACAGTTCAAAACTGTCGCGTCAGAAAATGAATGGACTGAAAGAGTAAAGGCAGTAAACTTGACCATCTTCCTTCAAAAAGATGCTTTAAATGTCGTTCAGGCTTTAACCGTGGAAAAGACAGATGATTTTGAACAACATAAAAAGAGACATGCGATATGGCCACGAACACTTGGAGTAGGTGTACTGATTACAGTTGAAGAATCGCAAACAGAAACGTGATGAAAGCCTTCAAGAATTTGAATTAGATATTGCGAAGATGGTGCGATTTGCCTACCCATCAGCTCCGGAATACATTATTGAATGTTTGGCTTCTCATAAATTTTTTTATTGGACTTCGTAACCATGAAATGC